GTTCCTGTAGAGTACTACAGAAGTTTAGGGTGCTAGTACCTTCTCTAAGCTTAACCAACCCCTTACCTAGGTCTCTCCCCGCATTGTGTTTACGATGCAAAAATAGGTTTTCCCTCTTTTGACCTTTTCCTTCGGATAAATCAAAGAGCGGTTGTGAATTAAGAATTGTGATTCAAACTAATTAATAGTTTGATATCCTATTTCCACCGTAACAAGATCCAATAAGTTCATCCACCCTTATCTTGCAGATGTCTTGAGCTTCTTCTATGGCAGTTACTTTCATATCAAATCTCTTAGGAAGAGACCTGAGAATCTTTCTTACAAGTTTTTCTTCTGACATCTTTTCACCTAGGGCACTTGAAGCATTGGCTATTTCAAGGATATTCATATGAAAATCATGTATACTTTCATCATCTTTCATCCTTAGGTTTTCAAATTTTGTAGTTAGCAATTGAAGTCTTGACATCTTTACCTTAGAAGTACCTTCATGAGTAGTTTTGAGTATCTCCCAAACAACTTTAGCAACTTCACAATTGTTCATCAATCTAAATATATTTCTATCAATTCCATTGAACAAGGCATTCAAGGCTTTAGAATTTCCAAGAGCCAATTCATCCCCCTCCTTTGTCCATTCTTCCTCAGGCTTCAGGTCAGATGTAGCTTTTCCATCTTTCTCAACAGTCACAGGGTGTTCCCATCCTTTTATGACATCTTTCCAAGCCTTACTATCCCATGATTTCAAGAAGGTCACCATGCGAGGTTTCCAATAATCATAATTATTCCCATCCAGAACAGGTGGCCTGTTCAGAAACCCCATTTCTTTGTCCATAGTATCAGAAAGTATCGTCCCTAGATCTCACCCAGAACCAGGGTAGGATGCCTGCTCTGGTACCAATTGAAATTCTGGTATCAGATATGAGATGTCGAAAGAGATCTCACAACACTAATATCTGAACAGTTACCAATATATGAACAAGATAAAAAAACAGTTAACAATAGTAAAGAGACACAAGCAATTGTTAACTCAGTTCGGTGCAAACACACCTACGTCTAGGGGCTACCAAGCTAGAAAGGAAATTCACTAAATAGAATTAGATTGAAGATGCACAACAAACTCTCTCTAATTTACAATCTTCGCACCTAATCTCTACCCCTGCAATTTCTATCTAAGACACTCTTAAATATGAGACACCTCTCACTCCCCCTCAATCACAGCAGTGATAAAAACAGATTAATAAAACATAGAAGACACTCTTCAAGGACAATACTTGATCTTGCTTAAAAGCTTCAATCAAGAACAATGCACTCTTGCTTAAAAGCTTAGAGTGGACAACTTACAACGCAAAGACTCAGTACAATTCACACGTCAAGGTGATGAGTGAATGGCTCACAAATAATAATAACACACGAAGGTAAGACCTTATTCTTTAAGCAACGCACTCTTACAACCCTAGCTTCTCTGATCTTCAATTAGGATTGCAAAGTCTTTATATAAACACTTTGAATGGGCTTGGGCCATAGCAAAAACTAACTTTGATTTGATAAAATCAAATCCGATAATTCTTCAAATCTTTTCATAATTAACAGCATAGAAATAGAACCAAATCAAATCTAATCAAATCAAATTAACCTCCAAATCTTCTCAAGATTTTCTGCATGAAAAATAGACAACATATTTCACAATTACTCCACGAATTATGCAGCAGAAGCTCTTTTGTATAAGGAAGATTTCCACGCTGATTTGTACCACCAAAATCTCTTATCACAAAAGTGAAAAAGGTTGTACAAAAACGCAACAGTCAAACATAACATTCTCACTGAATATTTTGTTCACAAATGTCAGGACATCATGCTTGACATCATGAACTAAAACCCTACAACATTAAGAATAACCACCTGCAGAATGTTAAGATCATATGTCAAGACACCTATAGGACATCTTGTGATAAACACCGAGTTTTACCAAAATTGTTGTCAATCAAGAACTAACACTTCTAGAATTCTTATTGAGGATTTCCAACATTGGAGTGATAATAATAGTCTTATTCATCTCCCCACCAGAGGTGCAGAATTCACCTGGAGCAATGGTAGGAGGGGAAACCAACTGATTAAAAGAAATTGGATAGAGTCATTTGTGACCAAGATTGGCTAAACCTTTGCAGTAATTCTTTGTGTTCTACTCTAGTTAGACACAAGTCTGATCATCACCTTATCCGTTTTATCTTCTGTCACCAAAATATCAACAAAGCCTCTTCTTTCAAATTTCAAAAGACGTGGTATGTACACCCCGATTGCATTAATATTATCAAATCATGTTGGAATGCTACTTTCTATGGCTGCCCCATGTACACTGTGTCGCAAAAACTCAAACTCCTGAAAAAGACTCTAAAGGATTAGAACAAGGATGTTTTTGGTAATGTGCATGAAAACCTCAGGAAAGCTTCTTCCAAGCTTGAAGATATCCAAGCTTAGTTACAGAGGCTGACTCAAACTGAAGAATTACTAGCCATGGAACAAACTGCTCAAATTGAACTAGCAGGAAAAATATAAAGTTAAATGGTACACAAAAGGAGATAGAAACACCTCTTATTTTCATAGGATGGCTAAAATTATACATTGTACCAAACTAATCAGTGTTATTCATCAAGGGGATGAGCTCTACACATATCATGAGGACATTTCAAGAATTTTTCTAACCATTTTGAACAGTTATTTACATCTGACAATTCCTGTGTAAATAATGGTTTGGTGGAAGAGGTTTTTCCAAACTTGATTACTGACCAAACAAATTCCTTGCTTACCATCCTCCTTAGCCAAGAGAAAATCCAAAAAAAACGGTTTTTGCTTTGAACCAAGATGCCTCTCCTGGACCAGATGGTTTTGGAGGATTCTTTTTCCATGAATATTGAGATATCATCAAAGCAGATGTGATTAGTGCAGTTTTGCAGTTCTTCACCTCGGGATGGATTCTTCCAAACTAGAATGCTAACTATATTGTCTTAATCCCTAAATGTTCTAATGCCACTCTTGTGGATCATTTTAGACAAATTGCTCTATCTAATTTCAAGTTTAAAATTATTTCCAAAATCATGGATGAGAGACTCTTTTTGATCATGCCTATTCTCATTTTCCTTAAATAAAGAGGTTTCATCAAAGGGAGATTTATTGCAGACTGCATTTATCTTACATCTGAAGTCATCAATATGCTGCATCTCAATTCCTTTGGTGGCAACATTGTAGATAAAGTAGACATCACAAAATTGTCTATTTCCAGGCCTTACTTTACTCAATTAAACTATCTATTTCCATTAATGGATCTCAGACTGGATACTTTGGTTGCAAAAGAGGGGTCAAGAAGGGAGACCCTCTTTCCCCCCTTCTTTTCTACCTTGCTGAAGATGTTCTCAGCTGGGCCATTTCTATGCTAGTAGAGCAAGGCAAGTTGGATCTCATTAAAGGACCTAAAAGCTCTAAGGTTCTCTCCCATGCTTTTTATGTTGATGACATTATGCTATTCTGCAAGGCCGAAAATTCCAATATTGAAGCTCTTAAGTCTTTATTCAATAGGTATGTTGATTGCTCGAGACAGAATGTAAACCCTCACAAATCTATTATCTATGCAGGAACTATCTCTCCTCAAAGATCTTCTCATCAGGCTCAAACCCTTGGCTTTTCTGAAGATTCCCTCCCCTTCCAATACTTGGGAGTTCCTATTTTCAAAAGTAAAAAGGTTTACACCTCCAACCCATTATTGATAGGATTAAAGCCAAACTTTCTACTTGGAAGGCTTCCTTACTGTCCATAGGGTACAAATTATCAAGAGCAGTATGCATGGCATGCTTCTTCATAGTTTCCTTATTTATTCTTGGCTTATGAGTCTCATCAAAGATTTAAAAAATTATATGAGGAACTTTGTTTGGAGTGGAGATACTTGCAAAAGGAAACTAATCACTCATCAAAGATTTGGAAAATTATATGAGGAACTTTGTTTGGAGTGGGGATACTTGCAAAAGGAAACTAATCACTGTTGTCTGGCACAAAGTTGGCACACCTCAATCAAAGGGAGGCCTTGGCATCAGGTCGCAGTCTAAAATTAATATTGTTGTAAACCTAAAGTTGTGTTGGGAACTCAACATCAGACAAAGAGTGGACAATCTTTCTAAGAACCAGGGTACTCAGAAACAAACATCCTATAAAATACCACCTTTTTTCCTCAATCTGATCTGGTATCAAGAACTATTTCCATGTGGTGGTGGATAACACTAATTGGAATATTGGCAATGGCAAATCTATTTATTTTTGGACGGATCACTAGTGTGGCAGACCATTGGTGGAACAACTAAACATTCTACAGCATAGTCAACTATCCTCTAAGGTAGCAGACTTTATTCAAGACTCTAAATGGCACCTTCCTCAATTGTGATTCCTCGTTATGATGAAAGTATCTTTTTGAATAGAATTTTTTGTTGCCTTTTATTTGACAAGAGTTTTCTACCTTTCAACAACAATGTTGCCAAAAGTCATGCTCCATAAGATTTTTTAGACAACATTAAAATGAAATATTTATGGATTGAAAATTTCTCAATGTTTTTATATTATTGATTGATGTGCGGTTATATGTATTGGCAGTACCAGTTGGTCTAACCATCGTTTCCATTAACAGGATATATTCATCATATCCATATCCATTGATCTAACCATTAACTACGCTTTCATAGAACATAAAATTGATTGAAGGAACTTTAAACTTGCATAAATACCATCAAGCTGGCAAAGAGATACGCCGTTGAATTAAGTTCCATATATGCAAATGCACAAGAAATTTGATGAAAATCCTCCATGTTAAATAAAAACAAACCATTTACCAAAAAGTTATTAAGTTTACACAATTCCCAAAGAAAACCGGGGATCAAATTCAGCTCCATCGGCGGGATACATGATCTTATTTGCTGGGGAGCGTAGCAGTAGCATGTCATTATATTGAAGTTCCAACATATAAATTAACCAAGAGAGTAAACCATGCGCTCAGATAACACTGCACCCACCACCCTCCTGTATTTCTGCAACTGTGACTCCAAGTATCTCTGCTGCTCAGGACCCAACACACTTTGAAGATTCTTCAGACACGAATAGTACAGTACATGCAAAGTATAAGTGGACAAACAAGTCAGACCAGTAAGAGACAGAAATAAACATGCAGGAGTTTGTTATGGTTAAACATGCATGTCTACCTAAATCTGCAGCATAACTACTTTCAGGATTAGGAAAAAGCAGCAATAAAGGATTTGATGACAACATGTCTGAAACTCACCAGTTTGAAACATACCCGCTATTTTGTATATCGGTATTACTATTTTCTACAATATTTTGCTTAAAGCATAGGAAACAACTCAATATTTATTTGCATAGAACTAATCATACCTTGTATCTCACACGAGATCCTTTTATCTCTAGCAAAACTTTGCTGAACTCACAATTTTCTGCTTCACAATTAGTTTGTAAATCAGGTTCATCGTCAGAGCTTTCCGATTCAAACTCAACCATTTCTTCATCTTCATTCATTGGAACATCATTTGCATCGTCTTGACCATTATCATCAAGCTGGATTAACATTGCATCTTGAACGTCAGTAACATGAAGTGGGGATGACTCTCCATTTGGTAAAATGGAAGCATCTGATAAGACGGCATAACGCTTTCTGTCAAGTAAAGGCCTTGCAATGTCAAATGAAACCCACCTGGAGATCGTGCAATGATGTTAGCCTTGTCTCACATGATATAGCGAGCATGCAAAATATGGTCAGAATTCAGTAGAAAAAGTCAGACAACAACCTATAGAATGAAGTCAGAATTACCTATTTCATATGCAAACAGAATGCACCAATAATTGTTATCGAAAAAGCAAGAGACTAGGTAAATGACTAAATGCTCTACAAGTTCATAACTAAACTACAAGAGTAAATATAGTAGGTGAAGTGGTTTCATGTGCACTCCGAAGTGAATAACTTACTGATAACGAAGAGGACATAAAAGCTCTGAAGGGCGATATGCAGCTTTGTATCTCATCTTGTTGCAAGAGTGAATATAGTAACCAAGATAATAATACTGGAGACTAGGACAATAAACCTGGTTATCTTTCACCCAACCAATTTCTTGAAGTGCAGAGTACTTGCCGAGTGATAGAAAGGCAAAGTCTGGATCCCAGAACAAATATTTACTGGATAAACAGTTAGGAAGGATATCTATAACCCCAACTGCCACTAACTGGCCATCCACTAAATACTGTTGATGGAAAGAGCCAAAACCACAAAGAGGAACTGTGCTATCCCCAGTATGTGAAACATATAATAATGGAGTATCAACCAAAAATCTGCGATACGAACTCTCCGTGTAATTTTGTGGTTTATCATTATGTACTTTGCTCTGATATTTTCTATATAAAGCATATTCTTTTGGATCAAAACTGGTTCTGTTCAAACGGATCTCAAGCTTTCGCTTTTTAAATTGACAATGTTGAGGACTAATCAAACAATTTCCTCCTTTATCAAGCTTCATACCAGACTTCTTAGGAATTGTAGCATTTTGAACAGTTCCATTTTGGGAAACTTGCTTGCTAGAAGCATAAAAATTGATATGACCATTGCAAGCCTTGGTAGACAAACCAGATAATTTCACTGTTGAGTCTAAAGCCACTACCAGCTTTTCTGCAATAATTTTAGGAGAAAATTCTTTCTCCTTCTGACTATCTCTTGATGGTTTGGAATCATTACAATCCTTGTCCCTTGACTGTGCTCGGTTTATAGATGCAGCAACTTGAAAGGCTATATTGCTACTATACAAGAGATCCTCGGATCCATTGGTTAATAACTTCTTTTTCCCCTGTGAAACCATTCTGACTGAAGCTTTTGGTAATTGAATACCAGATGAAAATTCCCCGTTCTCAGTGAACATCTGTACTACATTATCAATCTGATCCGATAAATAATGCAAAGATTTTTCAACTTCATCTACCTCTTTGTTGCCAACAGATAGAGATTCTTCTGACATGGATGATGAAGGATTATTATGGACAAGACTTCCTGAATTTTTTGAGGTATTTGATTCCTCCATGGCATCAACTCTTTTAACATCCAAGGTTCCATCTAAAAACCTAGGAAAAAAGAACAATAATTGGTGAAAAGCGGAACAAATAAATTTGAACATTTATGGACTACAAATATCAAATGAAGTGAATTGCTTATAATAGAAAAATATATTATCCCATGTATTTAACCTCCTTGAAAATTCCTACTAATATAAAGAAAAGGAGAAACAGAATCTTATGGTAATACATTGAGGCAATGCAATTCAAATTTTCACCCACCCCCACCTCCAAAGAAAATAGAAAAAAAGTGGGTTTGAATGTCGTTGTCGATGTGAGGATTCCATTGGTACACACTATGTTAGTAGTACACCTTTATTTTTATAAGCACTCAATGAACTTCAAAACTTTCCATGACTCTCGTTAGCAATCAAGACCCAACTCACCTACACTTATTTATATTAAAAAGACACTAGTATACAAGAAAGTGTTTCGCGAAAAAACCAAGTCACCATTCACCGAGAGGTGACACGTATCCCAAAAGTTTATTCTTTTATTGATAATGAATAGAAATCAATTGTAAACAGAAATGTTCCTTTTGTATAATAACTGGCAAGTATCACTTAACAAAACTCTACTTTATTGAATGGTAAAGATGAGCTCTGGCTCTACAGTGGTGGAAACAGCTCATAAAGGGGTAAACCAGAGTTCAAGAACTCATAACCAAAACAATATGCTCCTACTAGAGAAAAACACTCCGAACAAACTCTTACAATATTTCTGCATCATTCTTTCTCACCCCTCTCCCTAACCATATAGACATTTCACTCAACAGAACTGTGTGGCTATAATGCCACGTCAGCAACTAACTTCCCTATTCAGCTTAGTCATTGGGCTTAGGCCCAAACCCAGTCCTATCACGATCCGCTGCTAGAAAAACAGACTTGTTCTCAAGTCTTGTCATGAGAAATTGACTACTAACATTGAACTCTTCCTCCCGTTGAGCTTCCTTCATAACAATTAAAGTCTGATTAACAGAGCCTTTTCCAATGTTGCTGAACTTCTGGCAATCCTAAAACAGTACAACAACCAAGCTTGAGCCTACTAAGTGTGGGTCAGCTACATGGATCAAACTACGCCATAATGTTCTATCAAAAACTATGTTTCTATCCAACTCATTAATCTCTAGATCTTTCTTAAAAGTTTCTCTTATAGTTTTTCTAGGTCTTCATTTATTTCTAGCGGTTTGACTACCCTCCATCTAATTTCCTCTCATTACTACAGAATACACGGGTCTTCTCTTTATATGTCCAACCCAGACCACTTAAGTTTAGTTTCCACCATCTTTTCTACTATAGGTGATACGCCAACACTTTCACTGATATTGTCATTTCTAATCTTATCTCGCCCGGTCTTACCACACATTCAACGCAACATCCTCATCTCTTCTACATTTAGTTTATTTTTGTGTTGGTTCTTTACAGCCCAACATTCTGAAGTTTCACAAGGCAACTTCCCTTCACAAGACAAAATAAGTGACTCAACAAAACTAAGTTGACTTGGCAATATTCAAAGTTATAAATAAAGGGGAAATATTGAAAAGAAAAAATGTTTAACAATAACATATGGATGATAAATAACTAAAATTTATGCATTTATATTTAAGAGAAAATATCAAAGATGAAATATATTTAAGTGAGAGAACACTATGAGATTAAGTCAATCTCAAAAGAGTGTACTCTAATTTACTATACATATATACGCGTATGAAATTTATACAAGAGATTAAAATAGAAGTATTTGTTCAAGCTAAGTGTCACAAGGAGAAAGAGAATGACAGTAAACTATATCAGTCAAATGAGTGCCAATTCTATTTTATTCAAGATAATTGTATAATATACTCCCATATCATGTCTATAATGATGTCAACAAAGGTTTTGAAGTTGAAGAATAAAAGCAATAAAGGTTACTAATTTCAATACCATCAATTGAAAAATTAAAATTTGTATGTATCTCGACTCGAGAAATATCAAATGAAGTAAGCATACCTTTGCATTCGTCTAGATACACGAAGTTGTTCCTTAGAGGGAACAAAGTCAGCTGCTTTCAAGCGGATTGTATAGGAAGGGCAACATGTTTTCTCCATCTCTGGCTTATAAAGAAAACATCCAGATCTTCTCCAGCCCTGGTCAAGAAGGGCTATCAAAAGAAAAGAAAATGAAATTGAGTTAACCCGAACAAGGTCATATCAGCAAATTAACTTAGTTTAGAGCGTTGAATCAAAGCTCTTTCTCAATAGTGCAAAATGTCAGCATTATCAAATTGAGAAGAGTGACCAACACAGAAATAGTAAACAACACCAACCTTGGTAATCATCCACTGTAAGACTTTCTGCCAGCATACCTTTGACAAGAGAAAACCAAACAAAGAACTAATTACAAAACCGATTCATCACAGAAATGTAACTACCCAGAAGACAACAACAAAAAATCCAAACAACCCAGTGAGAATTTTCAAAAAAAAATCCAAACTCATAATAACCCACCAACTACAATAAAAAAGATTCAATTTTTCAGCATAAAAGCTCACAAATTGAACAGAATCAAAGAAGTTGAGAAAGAATTTTAGGGGAATTTAAGAGAAAGAAACCAAACCGTGAGAGATACTGTTGTGACGGGGAGATCTACAATAACCACAAGAGCTTCGACGTTTTCCGCAATCAACAACAACGCTTTCCCGTGGGGCTTTAGTGCTGCTACTACTAGCCTCGTTCCTCATCATACTGATACAAAAATGGTTTTTCTACGGAGACGATTGTGGTTGTGGCAGAGAGAATCGGAGGTTTTTGAAGTTCGATTGGGTTCAGGTACGATTTGGATTCATTGTTCGTTCTTTTCGTTGAATAAATTTTTACGCAATATTGATGAAAACGTGTCATTTTTAAATTTTAATTTTTTACTCAACAACGTGTCAACTTGAAAGTTGAAAGACAACAATGCCGGAAAAACCAATTCAATGTTAATTTTTTATATTACTTTTTTTTTAAATTGAAAATTTAATTTTAACATTTTATAACAGAAAAATAAATTTTAAAATATAGTTGACATCGCAGTTTTTTTAAAAAAATTAAATTTTAAAAATAATTTTTAAAAAAATCTATTTAAAATAATTTTAAAATTAAATAATTTCTTAAAAATTTGATAATAATAAAAAAAATTAATAAATAATAATATATCTAAAATAATATTTTATGAATAATTATTTAAAACAAAATTTTCAAATTTTTATTTGGAAATTTTATGAAAAGTTTATTTTTAAATTTATTTTTACACTAAATTATGTTGCATTATAAAAGTCATTAAAAAAAACAACAAACGAACTCATAATGTTATATATATCGAAAATCTAACATATTTATTTTTTAAAAAATGGATGATGTTCTGACAGTATAAATTAATTTTACACTGTCAATCAATGACGATTATTTATTTTGTCAAGTTAGATTGAAATTTTTAAATTACCTTTATGACATGAGAAAGTGATATATTCTCATTAAATGATAGTGTAAAACATTTTTACATTATCAAATTGGAGTACGTTTCCATTAGACTTTTTATTTGTTAATAGTTATGCATAAGAAATGAATTAAATCAATATGGCGGTTCAATTAACACAAATATTATAAAAGATATTACTAAGTAGATCAAATTTATACAATATACATCTTAAACTATCTACTCGCTCCTGAATCCCCACCATAGGATCAGAGCATACCAGAACTAGATCGAAGTCCCTACACCACGATGCATGACTCTCAACAACATGTATTATCACCAAAAGGTTCACCAAAATAATCACCATGCATTTATCATTGTTATGCACAACATAGTTCATCATACGCAACAATTAATCAATGTAACAACATTCAATAAACAACACCAAACAACAGCAACTCAACAAATGCATATTCACAAGCATCCAATCATATTAATTCATTATAACATCAATTAAATCATTAGTCAAACACAATGATTCGCTAATCGATCACACATGTCATCACATACATTCCTAAATTATACAAATAACTACAAATAAAATATTTCACCCAGCACTGTCACGAGGTAGCTCTGCACTTAGCTTTATAATGCTTCGAACGGCATATCATTTGGACTTACGGAATAAAAGTTACGACCAAAATCGTCGGACAATGCAACAAAGGGTAAAGTATAATTTTTCACAAATTGACCTATGACAATCGATTGTCATCAAGAGAATTTCGCTACTAGCTTCCAAAAACAGACAGTTAATCAGTTACACCCCCTCCATTCGATTGTCATATCAAAGTTTTCCAAAAATACACTAGTTGCAATCGATTGTCATAAGGTGACAATCAATTATCACTGCAACTTTTTCCAAAAAAAAAAGTTTTCATTATTCGTTCTTCATCTTCTTCGCCCCTAATCTTCCATACAAGATCCCAACCAATTTTTCCTAAAATTGATCAACCAAACACAAATTTAACAGTGAATCATGTAATCTCAACCATCACATATTACAACATATGTTTCATTATGATTCATAGTAATTCGTCAACAATTCCAACAACAATTTTATCAACACTCATGAACAAAACTTAAGCATTCAAACATTCATCTATTGCATAATCTTATACATGCATATTTATGATAGTTCAAACATAAATTCAGTCATAAAAATACATGTGTACACATAATCAATCAACAAATTCTAGATTTCCAACACACAATAATTCATCAAAGCAAATCATGGAACCCTAATGAGAGTAAGGACCTCTATTATCTACCTCACCATGCAATACACACATATTGATAGTCCTTTCTCCCCCCTTACCTTATATTTTCAACAACAATAGCAAAACAAGTTGTTCCTATGGATTCTCCTTTCAAAATCCCAACTCTCTTCCAATTGCTCTTGTTCTTATTGCCTCATTGTTTTCACGTTCTAACAAAAATTCTCCTTCACCTAATTTTCTCCAAACTTTTAGAATATATATTATTCTAATTATTTCTCAAAATTATGGTTTTTGCCCAATTTATCCCTAACTTTTTTTCTCTTGCCACATATTGCCCTCAAATTAGATAATTGATCAAATTCCTTATTTATTTTTTTTACCAATTTTATCAATATATTTCTATTATTAATTAAAATGCTAATTATTATATTTATTTTCTAATTTATTCCACCAAGCTACTACATTTTCATCACACCTACTATTGCCACTACACCCCAATAACACATATGATTACATAATTGTATTTAAAGACACACCAAACACCAAATAATTAAATAAAAAATATAAATAATTCAATTAACTACTAGATTAGATACAATATCTCAATAGCCTTCCTCAAGCTGAGCATTATAAATGTCTATCATCTCAAGCTTAGAGATGAACATGTTGAACTTATGAGGTGTCAAACCCTTAGTGAGAAAATTAGCAAGCTGATCTTGAGACGTAATTGGAAGTAACTGAAGGGTTCCATCTTGTACCTTATGTCGAACCAAGTGACAATCAATTTCGGGATGTTTGGTTCTCTCGTGAAACACTGGTTAGAGGCAATGTGAAGTGTGCTCTGGATGTCATAGTAAAGGACAGGTTGTCTCATGGATGTAATGTGCAAATCCTAGAGCAAATGCAATAGCCATACCAGTTTGCAAGTAGCAGTAGAAAGGGCTATATACTCTGCCTCAGACGAAGACCTGGAGATGGTTTGTTGCTTTTTGGCACACCAAGATATGAGAGAAGACCCAATAAAGAAACAATAACCTGATATAGATTTACTTGAATTAAGACAACTGGCCAATCAGAGTCTGAGTATCCTAGGAGCTGAATTTCAGAGTGCTTTGGAAATAGAAGTCTTCTGCCAGGGTTATGTTTCAAATATTTGACCACTCTACAGGAAGAATGGAAGTGTTTCATGGTGGGAGCATGCAAGAACTGGCTCAACTGTTGAGTGGAAAAAGTAATATCAGGTCGGGTGGTATTAAGGTATAGTAAACGCCCAATAAGTCGTCTGTAAGTTGCTATGTCTTCAAATGGTTTGCCATTATCTTGATGCAGCTTGACAGATGGATCAAGTGGACTATGAGCCGATTTAGATCCCCAAAGGCCTGAATCATTGAGTAAATCAAGGCAGTACTTCCTTGGGGAAATTGTGATACCACATTTAGAGTGAGTCACCTTCAAACCCAAGAAGTACTTGAGAATTCCTAAATCTTTGATCTTAAATTGATGATCAAGGATATTCTTGATTCTTTGGAATTCAACAAGAGAAGTACCTTCCATTATTATATCATTTATATATACTAAGAGTGCAGTAAAATCAGAGTCAGATTTTAATGGGAACAAAGAATAATCAGAAGTAGATTGTCTATAGCCTTCCTTGTATGCCTTTAGATGTGTTTATGGTGGATTTAGGATTTAAGGGATTCTGAGTTGAATTGGGAAAACTAAGGGAATCGATTATAGAACTCTGAGATTATGGTTTATGGTATGAATCACTGAATATTAATGTGAGAAGGGAAACCTTAGGCCTTTGTGGCCAAAATCTTGGATTGTGATATGTCTGACCTTGTAGAATAGGAATATCTGAATGTGAGTAACTCTGATGCGCTCAGAGCAATTGCAGGAAAATAGTGATTTAGGCATTGCATATGTTGCTGGATTGGCCTAATGAACCATAAATTTTGTATTGTTATTGTCATATGACCTTATGGATAATTTAGAGATGTTTTGGGGGCATTGGGTAAGTGAATCGTGTGAGTATTTGGGCAAGGATCAGTTCTGGTCGTAGCAGGTTGTGCTGACACCGTGTTGTTCGCCTAGCGAGCATTTGCCACAAGACTCGCCTAGCGAGCAAGCCAACAAGCACTCGCCGCAGAATCGCCTAGCGAGTAAGCCAGCGAACGTAGCAGAGTTCGCGAATGATTGATCGTGTACGGCGATGCTTTGATGTTTGATTATGAGATTCCTGAGATAAGTTAATATGAGTATGACAGTGAGGTTAATGTGATTAATAGAAGAATGTATGGGGATTAGCACGAGTATAACTTGATGAGTTACTATGAGATAAGATGAGTTAATATTATGAATTAATATGTGATAATGGGGGATAACATGATGGATTAATAGGAGTATGACGTATGATGATTAATATGATGAACTATGATAATATGACGTATGATGATTAATATGATGAATTATGATAATATGACGTATGATGATTAATATGATGAATTATGATAATATGACGTATGATGATTAATATGATGAATTATGATAATATGATGTATGATGATTATTATAGTGAGATATGATGATATGATGTATGACGATTATTATGATGAGATATGATGATATGTTGTATGATGAGGATTGTTGTGATGAGATATGATAACATGAGATATGATGGTTTATGTGAGTTATACGATGATGATGAATATGATGAATGATGATGCACCATATGTTGTTATTATGAGGATTATTATGACGTATGCATCATGCATTCATGTGCATCCGGACTTCGGTTCAGGACCTTGATTACTTTTGCTTCAATCCCATTGTGCGGATGTGAAGTATTTTGATGTGCTCTGGTTCTCTAGTAGAATCGATCCTATTGATGGGGATCTATAGAGGGTTGATGGCCCAGTGTCCGTCGTGTTGTGATGATTGGTACCACATGCATTGAGTTGTGTCGCATTGCATCTATGAGTCTTTTTGTCTGAATTATGACGTTATGGCC